AAAAGCTTTAATATGCTGAAATCTTGCAGTGTTTTTTGTGGGAGTAAGCGCCACCTGTTGACTGCTTCGCATGTGATTTGTCAGATTTGAGATTTGTGCATTGTGTGAGTGGGGTGGCAGGTGCATTCTATTCTTCTCTCGTGAGTGACGTGACCTCGAACTTCGAAGTCTGAACGTCAACATTCTCCGTATTGTATTCATGTGTTATTTAGTTGATTCGCGGAATAATATTGATATCCATCAATCAGAGCGCAACGGAACGGAATATTAATTGCCGTAGCGAAAACGCGTGTTGTGTTGGTTGTTGGTGGACCAGTATTCTTCTAACCCAAACCGTAAAGGGCGCGGCGCACCCACGCTTTTAATTTAACTTAACCTACAAATCGCCGTGTGCTTTGTGGTTGTTGGAGATCGCAGTTTTTGTTGTTTTTGACAAACATCTTTTCATTTAAATAGGTATGTATATAAGTATTATAAAATTCTTTTTCTATTTTTTTATTCGTTGTTTTCCGGTGCCTGCAGTAAAGGAAATAATAATATAGTCGATGAATAACATTAATTACTTAATCCAGATTATGAATTAGAATTTGTTTACTTATGCATATTATATTACTGCATAATAATAATTATGGATTCAGAAAAAAGAAAATTATTTAATAAACTTTATCAGCGATATAAACGATCTAAACAAGTTAAGAAAGTCGAGGAGGAGCCCTCCACATCTAAAGATTTTGATTATTGTATAAATAGTGAAAGTTCCACATCCCAAAAAGACATTTGTAATGTTTCAGAGGAAAGTACAGACTCCGAATTAGACTTTTGTGATATTGCTCAAATTCCAAGTAAAATTCAGGAAGAAAATTTTGTCGAGACTGAATTTTTAAATGATAAAATTGAGGATAAATCAGAGCAGACCGGACATGGGGTACACAAGTTTACTTTAATAGAACAGTTATCAGATTGGGCCATAATTCACAACATTGATCATTTTGCTTTATCTGATTTATTGCGAATTCTAAATCAAACGATTGACATTAATTTGCCCAAAGATCCAAGGACTATTTTAAAAACCCCACGAAATACTGGTTCTCTAATTGAAAAGGTAGAACCAGGTGTCTACTTTCATTTTGGGGTAGAAAATTGTCTCATAAATTTACTAAATCGTAGAGATGTTAATGACTCGGAGGATCGGAGTAATATTTTAGAAATTTGTGTAAATGTTGATGGTCTTCCATTATCAAAAAGCTCTGGAAGTCAGTTATGGCCTATAATGATCAATCTTTTTCAAAATAAAAATATTGTGGAGGTATGTGGATTATATCAAGGTAACAAAAAACCAGAAAATGCTAATGTTTTTATGTCCAAGTTTGTAAATGAAATCATCAGTTTGATGACTAATGGTTTCACTTATAAAAGCCAAATATTTTTTGTAAAAATTAAAGCCTTTATTTGTGATGTCCCTGCAAAAGCTTTTATAAAGTGTACCAGAGGTCATAGTGGTTATATGTCTTGTTCTAAATGTGATACTGAAGGTGTGTTTAAAAAGAATCGAATTTGTTTTCCTGCAATAGAAGGATTTCATCTTCGAACAGATGCAACTTTTAGACGCAAAGAACAAGATAGCCACCACACAGATACTTCTATTTTGGAATCTATACCTAACTTGAACATGATAACATGTTTTCCGCTAGACTACATGCATTTAGTATGTCTCGGCATTGTAAAAAAATTAATTAGCAATTTGTGGTTATCAGGAAAACCCCCTTACCGTTTTTCAAGCCAGCAAATTTCTGAAGTTTCTCAAAAACATTTGTCATTACAAAATCAAGTACCCACTGAATTTTCCAGAAAACCGAGATTGCTTTCTGATATTAAACATTGGAAAGCAACGGAGCTTAGGATGTTTTTATTTTACACTGGACCAGTGATCTTAAAAGAGAGTGTCACTAATGAGATCTACCAAAATTTTATGTCATTGCATGTTGCAGTTACACTTTTTTCAAAATCTCAAAATATTGATTATGCTGCTGAATTGTCAAAATATTTTATTCAAACATTTTCACTGCTCTATGGAGAAGAAAATATATCACATAACGTGCATAACCTTTTGCATATTGTTGATGATGTTAAAATGTTTGGCAGCCTTGAAAATTTCAGCGCTTTTCCCTTTGAAAATAATATGTTATTTTTAAAAAAATTGGTGCGCAAAGGGGATCGACCCCTTCAACAAATTGTTAATAGAATTGTAGAGCGAAACAAATGTGTTTTGGGATCTGGAAATATTAGGGCAGAATATCCTGTATTAAAATATGAACATTCTAATGGGCCACTTATTGCTAGTGTTTTTGGTATGAAACAGTTTAAAAAAATATATATCAAAAATTTTTTATTAGCTTTAGATGATTCAAACAATTGCTGTTTCATGAATGATAACAGTGTAGTTATTATTAAAAATATTGTTTCTTTAAATAATGTAGTAACAGTAATTGGTCAGAAGTATTTAGTTTTAGAAAATTTGTATAACTTGCCTTGTGAATCCTCTAAATTAAACATTTTTGTTGTGAGCAAAGAAGGTCCCATTAAATCGTGGGAGTTACCTCAAGTTCTTCACAAGTTTTTTAAACTCACATTAAACAATAAGGTGGTTGTTTTTCCTTTATTACATACAACTGCTTAATTTGTTACAGATTTGTTTATCGCTGTTAATTTTTTTCCATTATGTAATTGTTATTTTCTTAAAAACGTAAAAACAATTTCTCTCTTTTTAAAAAATGTGTAGTGTCACAAATTTTGGACCTCGTTTTGGACGTAATAGATTTAATCTCGGATTTAATATATATTTTCTATGAGGATTAAATTAAAATATTTTTTTTATTAAATTCACATTAAAATGACATTTAATTAAAAAAATTATCTGATTTAATTAAAGTCGTCATGTCATCTCCAAGAACATGGACGGTGGTGTGTTTCGAAAGTGATAATGCAGTGCAGGCAGTTCCCACCAAGTGGATAAATGGAGAAAATTGCCTGTGGCCAGTTTTACCCCAAGAAAAACTGAATAGCGCCTTAAAGCACTGTGACTTCAACAGTTGTTGGCCATCACATAAGGTGCGAATATTTCGCAATTCAACTTATGGTATGTAGACAAATTTATTTGATTCTGACAATTTTATTTCTAAAATAATTTTTTTTCTTTAAAATCTTAATTTTTAAACCCTTAAAAAACTGCAAAGTGAAAACAATTGTCCTAAAATTTAAATATTATTTAGTGAAAATGTGGACAAACTTATTGACTTTTTTTAAATAATACCGAACATAAAAGATCCACATATTTTTGTTTTTTTTAATTTGATATGTATTTATCGAGGTATTTATGTTATTTTTTCAGACGACTATTCC